CTGTGTGGGTCCTCTTTAGTCTGTCCACGGGACACCCCCAACCTCTGCCTGGCCCTCTGGTTGTCTTGTTGGGTAACTTTTGCTTTCTTTTTAGCAGAAAGGAATGCACGTGGGAAACCCCTGAGTAGTCCAATGATACGGTGACTCACCCATTTCCCAGTCAGCGAGTGAGGTGAGTCCCCGGGATGTCACGCAGTTCCGTGCTGGTTGGTGGGGCAGTAGCGAGGCCACTTCCCATTCAGGACACCTCCCATCTGTTGACCTGGTCTAAATCTGTACACACTCTGCACACCAGTACGCCACCCCCCAAAAAATGCACACAAAATCTCAAAAGTAGAGAAGTCTAAAGGCCACATTTGCGGTGGCAGTATTGGGCCAGCAGGCTACAGTTAAGCTAGGGTAATGTCACTCTCTGGCTCAGCTGCCATTAAGGGCAGGGGGTAGTGTCTTGCTGGTGAAATCTTTGGTGGATGTGGGTGAGGTGAGGTCTGGAGGACGGAGCAGACACACATTTTCCCCTAGCGGAGTAGACGCTCTGCTGTGAATGAGTCTTTCTGTCAGGCTAGGCTGCTAGTGTCTCAGCACATGCTCAGGCCTCTCAGGCGCAGCCTGAAGGAAACACCTTACACTGGTAGAGCTGAGAGAGTTCCTGCAGGTGGGGACTCACTAGTGCTTGGGGCAAACATGCTCTAGCGAGATCATCCACCCAGTGGCTGCCTGAGTTCTGTCAGAAGATGACAACCTCGCTGTCACATTGGTGGAATTCTTGATTCGGTTAGGGGAATTCTACCTCCTGACAAAGCAAGAGTGCAGTCGGGACGGCCGGATCAGTAGCCCCAGCTTCAAACAGTTTTCATCCTAGAACCATTTTCACAGTTGCAGGGAATCTCCTTGTGACCAGGATCTCACCTGAACTCTCCTTCCGCTCCCTAGTCCTTGCAATCCTTGTGAGATTGCTACTGTAGTTATTAGAGTCAGAGCCCGTTCTGGCATCCCTAGCAAGACGCTCGGGCACTTGTCCTCAATAAGCCAATTAAAGAGAAAATGCACCAGTGAAAAGCAAGAAAGATTTACTCATTGTGGCCAAATTAGAAAGACAAAGCGATCCAGTGACACAACTTCCCCACATTTACCTTTAGGGTCCTGCATGAAGTTTAACTTCAAGTAGAGGCCAGAGTTATGCATCACTAAGTAGACCGGGTTAAAGTGTGGTCCTGCCATCACTAACCCAACCCATTGTCTCAGCTCCAGTCTACCGTGCAAGATGGATTGATGTTGCAGATCTCTTCCCAGGACACAAGTTTTCCTTTGATTGGTCTTGGCTTCGGCCTGTTCCTTTCTCCTGCATGAGATTCCTGGAGAGTATTTCAGTTTCATGGAGTCCATTATTTTAGGAGCCTAATAGCCAAAGAGAAAGGCTATCGTAGAATAGTTTTAAGACGTGTCACGTTTGCCAGCTGGTCCGAAAGATCTCGTCCCCTTCACCACCCCGAGGGGTGCCCTACCTGACTGGCCATGGACGACATCCTGTTCCAGTTGAAGCAGCTAGAGAAACTGGCCAAGAAGGCAGAGAAGGACTCCAAGGCTGAGCAGGCCAAAGTGAAGAAGGCCCTTCAGCAGAAAAATGTGGAGTGTGCCCGCGGGTGTGCTGAGAATGCCATCCGCAAGAAGAATGAAGGTATAAACTGGCCCCGGATGGCGTCCCGTGTGGATGCAGTAGCCTCCAAGGTGCAGACAGCTGTGACCATGAAGGGGGTGACCAAGAATACGGCACAGGTGACCAAAGCTCTGGACAGGGCGCTGAGTGCCACGGATCTCCAGAAGGTGTCTGCGGTGATGGACAGGTCTGAGCAGACAAGTGCAGAGCCCGGATGAGCACACATCGGTAATGGAGGATTCCAGGAGCTCTGCCACCACACTGACCACACCTCAGGAGCAGGTCGACAGCCTCATCAAGCAGATTGCTGAGGAAAATGGCCTGGGGGGTCTTAGACCAGCTCAGCCAGCTTCCAGAGGGTGACTCTGCTGTGGGTGAGAGCTCCGTGCCCAGCCTGGAGGACCAGCTGTCTCAGAGGCTGCTGCCCTGCGGAATTAGCATGCCCTCAGCAGGTGTTGCCTCCCTTCTATGATGTACCGGAGGCTTCTGCCCCACTTTCTCCAACCCTTCATCGCTGCCTTGGCTCTTTTCCAACCTGTCAGGCTGGGCGCCTTAGAACTAACTGAGCCTTAGGTTGGGCAGTGGGCCTTTGTCCTGGTATTGAATTTGCACAAGTGTGGGTGACTCACATGATTTGTGGGCCACAGCTGGAAGAAGGCAAACTCTGTGTTGTCCTTTGCCTATGTGGAGTTGACAGGGTTTGACCAGCAGCTGTGTAGACTTCAGCCCAGGGCTTCAGGGCCTTCAGTTTCCAGTGAGCACACACCTGCTGCTTGCTGTGGCCAGGGAGGATCCAGAGCCACACCTTTGCTAGGCAGCTCCTGGGAGCCTCTCCCTGACCTCTGCAGACAGGAAATCCTGTTGTGTGACAGCCCTGAGTAGGTTCCTGTGGAGTTTTGTGTACCCGAGATGTCTAGAGCCACCAACACTGGCTGGAGCCTTTACAGGTGGTTCCTCCACTCCATCTTCCCAGGGCTGAGTTTGTTCCTTGGCTGCCACTCCCAGCCGGCTGAGTTGGCCTGGGCTTTCTGTCCCTCAGCTCCCTTCCCCAGCCCACAGAACTGGCATCCAATCTCAAGTCCAGGTGCTCCCTCCCGAGAGATGCTTACCCTTCCTCAGCAACTGCCTCTGGAAGGGCTTGGGGCCACTTGGGCTGCGCATCTGTCTGATGGTGCCAGGCCTCCAGCGTTACCGCTTTTCAGGCCCTTTAAAACTTCTCACTCTTGAATGTGAGGTCCCCTGACTCTTCTGTCCTTTTAGATACAGGCTGCTGCCCTTCTGCCTTCTCCAGGGGAAAGTCAGGGTGGCTAACAAATGAAACCGGGACAGTCATCTTTGGCTTCGGTCGGCTCTTTTACACCCTTTTGTAGTGGGAAGCTGGCAGGGAGCAGGCAATGAGACTACCTGGGGCAGCCTGAAGGCTGTGTGCACGGGCCACAGTTGTATTTTCTGTCTCCTGAAGTTTACTCATGTTCTTAAAACTCCTGGTGGTTTTGTTCCTTTGCCAAAGTGGAAAGGACACAGCAGATGGGGTGTGTTTGTCCAGCCCTTACCACAGGTTGAGCAGGGCAGTACTGCCTTGCAGGGTTACACTCAAGCTTGGATACTTCACCTGGACTTGCTGTCCAGTTCTTTATTAGGCCAATCAGTTGTTTTAGACAGGCACAGTAACAGCTTCACAGAGTTAAACTGTTTCTGTTCTGCACTTCGGGGGCCCCCTCAATGTTCCACATTACAAAGCTGATGTTGAGGGCGGGGACCAAGGTACAGTCTAACCACGGGCCCCTCAGGCTTCCTGAAATCAACCTGCGTGACAGGTGTTGAGAGTAGCTGCAGTCTCTCGGGACAACTTGTGAGCTCTCTGAGTCCTGAAGGGTGCAGGATTTGTGGAACACTAGTAGATTTGGGGGGTGCTGGGTTGGGTTCATCAAAATGGGCATATATCTGCCTTTAAAGTGCTGTTGTAAATAAATTGATTGCTGGAGAATAAAAACAGATGTGTTACATTTGTTTATGCTATGGAACATCTGTTTAATGATATAAAGATGTTTATGTTTTATGTTGCATTTGTTTAACTCCATGAAGCTTTTACTGTGCCTGTCTAAAACACCTGATTGGCCTAATAAAGAACTGAACAGTCAACAGCAAGACAGGAGAAAGGATAGGCGGCGTTGTTAGGCAGAGAGAACAAATAGAAGGAGAAATATGGGAGAAAGGGTAGGAAGAGCAAGAGATCAAGGAGCCAGAAAAGAAGGGGCGCTACACAGCCAGCCACAGAGTAAGAGTGAAAGTAAGATATACAGAAGTAAGAAAAGAAAGGCGCACCGAGGCAAAATATAGACAGGATAACTTCAGTTAAGAAAAGCTGGCAAGAAATAAGCCAAGCTAAGGCCAGGCATTTATCATTAAGAATAAGCCACTGTGTGTGATTTATTTGGGAGCTGGGTGGCAGGCCCCTCAAAGAGCAAAGAAAAATGAGCCAAAAGAGTAAAAAGAACCAACAGCAAACGGCACAAGTGTCTCTCAAACTCAGCTACAGAACGAATGCAGAGGAGACTCGGGGTATCGTGCAGAGGTGTCCATCCTTTTGACATTGTGATATAACATTTACAAGTGTTGGGATGCATTCATGGCTATCCTGGGATACATGCTGCAGGCTGGACATATCTGGTGTAGAATATTGGTGAGATCTTGAGCTGGGCGGTGGTGGTGATGCCCTTAATTCCAGCACTCTGGAGGCAGAGGCAGGCGGATCTCTGTGCTTTCTGGTCTACAGAGCGAGTTCCAGTACAGGCTCCAAAGCTACGAGAAACTCTGTCTCGAAAAACAAAACAAAACAAAAAATAGATTGTTGAGATCTAATTATTTTGTGTGTATACATATATATGTGTGTGGTGTTATTTATACATGGTTTGTAATGTGTGTGTGTGTGTAATAAAATAATGCATACATTCCTGCTCTCTTTCCATATCAAGGATCCCAGGGATTGAACTAGGGTCATCAGGCTTGGTGGCAAGTGACTTTACCCACTGACCTCCAGAACACCAGGTTCGTGCTAGGAGCGCGAGTGTCCCAGGAGGACCTAAGCCAACCCGCCGCAGCTCACGTCAGCCCCTCATCGACTTTGCTAGGAAGCAGCTGGGAAACAAGCTCAGGACCAAGCCGCGCGGCGCCGGCCAATCGCCGCTCGCTGCGGCTCCCTGCTCGCTCCTGGTAGGTTCCTGCTTCCGTCCGTCAGAGGAGAGGGCCCAAGGCGGCCCATTTGACAAATCGACGCCCGCTGCCGCGCCCTGGGAGCTCCTGGTAGGCTCGCGCTTCTGTCCGTCAGGCGGGACGGGCCGCGGCAGCGGGGGTGGTCCCCGGCGGACGCTGAGTTCCGGGCGCGCGGAGACCGTTGGGTGAGGCGGCGCGGAGCCGAGCCGGGGTCAGCGCTCACGGCCGGTGTGGCCGGGGTCAGGCGCGGGGCGGGAGTGGCGGTTGGGGGTCAGGTGCGGGGCCGCCGCCGTCGGGGTGTGGGGGTGTGGGGTTCGGAGCCGCGGGGCCGGAAACTGAAAGTCGGCGGGAGGGGGGCCGGAAAAGTTCGCGACGTCGGCAGCGGTGCGTGGCTGCGCGCGCGGCCCTGGGCGCTGTGGTTCGGGGTCACGGCCTTACGATCCCTTCCCCCGATCTCGGTCCGGCGTCCTTGGCTGTGGGACCCACGAACCCCACTTGCTCTTGGGCGAACGCCTGGTTTCCTGGGCCACTTTCACTACCCACCTCCCCACCTGCATCAGCTTTTGAACCTAGGGAGTCAAATTAAGTCTGACGCCCCCAGTACTCAGGCGTCTCCCTTTCAGACTCTGACACCCGGCTCCACAACCCACGGACACCCCCTCCCCCCAAACCCCTTCCCTGTTGGTGTCTCATTTTTCCTGGTGTCCTTTATCTTTTCAGATCTCACCTTTCTGCCCCTCAGGACCCCTTTCTCTGGGAGCTAACTTGATGGGATCCTAAGTGTCAGGGGGTTTGGTCTGATCCCAGGGCCCTTTTCTCCTTGAAGCCTGCTTAGTGGAGGTTGGGCTTGGTGGACACTCTTCATGATGGACATGTAACCCCAAGCAGGTAGTGAGGACATGAGATTGGTTAGAACCCAAAGGCGTACTCCCTGCGGGCCCTACACATTCGGAGAAGCACAGAGTTGGGGGACTCAGGAAATCTTCAGCCCCACGGACACAGTGCAAGGTCATCTTGTGTGCAGTTCACGAGTTGGAAGTCCTTTGTTTCTGGCTACCAGTTGGTCCAGAGAGGTCACACTTGGCCTTGCCACAGTGTCCTATGCCTGTGTGACTGGCTGAGAAAGGTGGTATTTAGTGACCCCAAATTACTGTTACTGGGTGGAGACCTACAACCAATCCCAAATTGGTGTTTAAGTCTATTAAAAATTAGCTTTATGGCTGTATTTGTTGTGTACCACAGCATTTTAAAGCATTTGACAAAAGCTCAGGCATCATTCCCCCCCCCCCACTTACTTGCTTTTGTGTGTGTGTGTGTGTGTGTGTGTGTGTGTGTGTGTGTGTGTGTGTTTTGAGACAGGGTTTCTCTATGCAACCCTACAACTAGTTCTATTGACCGGGCTGGCCTCCTACTCACAGAGATCCTCCTGCCTCTACCTCCCAGATGCTGGGATTAAAAGTGTGCACCACCACCACCGACTCAAGGGTAGTTCTTTATCAAGCCTTGTGTGCACAGCTGGAAGGCTGTGTGCTTCCAGCTGTGGTGTCTCCCTGTCCTGTCCTGCAGGGCACATCTGTGAGGTGTTTATGTATTTGCTGTTTCTTTTTCCTCTGGGGACCACCCCCCCCCCAGTACTCCTGGAACTGGACAGACTAGTCCCTGACAATGCAGGCTGCCGGGAACCCTATTACTCTTTCCTGTTTGCCGGTCATCATGGGGCAGACTTGGTCCTCAGCACCTCTCTCTGCACACCTGATGGCTGCACAGGGCCTGGAAAACTCTGTGCAGCGATTGGAGTGAGGGCCCTGCGCATGCATGTCCAGTCTCACATGGGGCGCTTCCCGACAGAGCCCTCCAGGAATCTCTGGACTGTGATTCCCCCTGCACATAGAGGAATAGTGGCCTGGGCTGCACCACAGAAACGGCAGCAGTCAGCTTGGAGAAGGCCCTCTGCTAGGAAGGAAGTGTGTTTCCAGCCTGTCATCTCATTGCTGTTTTGGGAGTTGGTTTGGGGTTTCCTTCTTGACAGTGGATTGCTAAGCCCCCAATTCCCGTGTGTTGTTATGTAAATTGTGAGTATGGCGTGGCAGGTGGATCCCATGGGTAGTTGTGAACTGTACAGGCATGGACGAGGTAACCTGGAGAAGAAAAAAAATCTAGAAAAAACTGCCGTAGGTCCTGCAGATTATGCCAAAGGTGGGGTGTGCAGCTTCAAGGCTTATGTTGGAGATTCCCCCCGTTTGCTGGCCCTGCCCCTTTACCCTGGGCATCCATCACACTACTGTACTGTGCCTGCCTTGTTGCTAGCCATAGAGAAGGAGAGCCAGTGAGTGCGCTCTGCACCGAGACCCTGGGCCCCAGGTGGGCAGTGTAGTTGTTGTCTGGGGGCAGCTTGTAATTTAAGTGGACGGGAACTGGAAATCTGAGCACAAGAAAATCAAGGATTTGGAATTTAGACAGCAGGCACATGACCCAGAGTTGGGGTGCTCTGTTTAGAGCAGAGGGCATGGGTTGGGGATGGGGTGAGTTTGTGAAGGACTGGGCCAGTTGTTACAGAAAGGGATTTTGTGCTGTGTGCCAGAGTTAGCTGCTGGCTGTCTAGTTATTGACGTGACTGCAGCCGTCAGTGGAAGGCGACTTCCCTAGTAGTAGCCAGGAGGGGAGAGCTGTAGAAGCTGGCTCCCCTCCTTCCTCTTTTAGCTCTGTACTTGCCTGCTGACAGCCAGTCCTGGGAGTAAGGCCCTAGCAGAACGGGCATGGCGCAGACCTGAGAGAACTGGTGGGAACTGGAGTAGGCAGACAGGTGGAGTTGGGGCGGCATTAGCTTTCGCCGACCAGAGTTGGGAAGCCATTGAGGTTCTAAGCTGAGTAGAGGCTCCGACTTCATGCTGTGATAAAGGTTCCTCTGGTCCCCAGGAGGCCACAGTGGCCCCAAGGAAGCTATGCAGTCAGGGCTGGAGCTATCCATTTGTTTGAGTGTTGAGGTCCTAACAGAACTCAGGCGCTCAATTCACAGGTGAGAGAGAAAGAAAGAGACAGACAGACATTTAAACCTAAATCTGGAACTGGGTAGTCATGGCACACACCTTTAATTCCAGCATTCAGGAGGCAGAGGCAGGCAGATCTCTGTGAGTTCAAGGCCAGCCTGGTCTACAGAGTAAGTGCCAGAATAGGCTCCAAAGCTACAGAGAAACCCTGTCTCAAAACAGGAGAAAGGCTTGTTGAGGGGCATATCTGGGAGAAGGATAGACAGGGAGGTTAGAGCCCAACTGTGTGTTGTGGCATTTTTTAAATGGAAACATTTTCTTGGCCAGGTGGTGGTGCCTGCTTTTAGTCCCATCACTTGGGAGGCAGAGGCAGGTAGATCTCATTGAGTTTGAGGCCAGCCTGGTCTACAAAGAGAGTTTCAGGTCAGCCAGGACTGTTGTTACACAAAGAAACTCTGCCTCAAAAAAACAAAAAATAAAATATGATTAAACCTGCCCTACATTCATGTCTTTCTGGTTGTTTAGTGCCAGCTGTGTTTTTTTTTTTTTGTTTGTTTGTTTGTTTTTTGTTTTGTGACGTGGTGTCTTACTGAGCTCAGGCGCTAGTGAGTTTCCTCCCACAGCGCAGATGGCACGTGTGAGGCTGGGAGACGCATCCACCCCAAGAGCGGGGCAGAGTCAGGTTTGCCCTCCTGTCCAGGGCCATCCACCCTGGTGGGCGCTTAGAGTAGATGGAGGTTATACATATGCTTTATGAACTTGGATGTGGGCATCATTAAATTGTGTATGCAGAAGAATCGAGTGGATGTGGGCACGTGTGAGCTGTGTCCTGCAGGTTAGGGACACCCAGCAGCCTTGTCATGGTGTTCGGTACAGGAGCTCTGTCAGGAGTCTCAGCCTTAGACATCAGTGTGCCTCTTTTGTAAAGGGTACTCCGTGAGTGTGGGGGTCATTGTGCTGCTTATTGGTTCCCAGGGGTGGCCAGGGGGAGATGTCCTGCTGTTTGTAATGCTGTAGTTGTGTGTACCTGAAGATCTCAAGGGTTCTGAGTTAAAATTCTTTCTGCTTGGGCTCTCTGTTAACTACTCCTGTCTAGGTACAGGTGAGAAACTTCTTTCCTCTTAGAGACGTAAAGATAGAACAGAAGAGTTCTCTTGCTTTCGGACTCAACACCCTCAGCCAAGGGTTGGTTCACAGAAACCGGTCATGCTGGTGCCTGGCATCTGAAAAACAGTTGTTGGATGAGAAGAAGGTGACAGATGGCAGCTGTCATTGCTGTATTGTGAATGTTTTAATATGTGTAATCAGAATTGAGGTACACTGGAAAGGATAGCAAGCTACATGTAAGTAACAGTCATCTTTTAATGAATGCTGCGTTGAAAGCCACGCTAGTGTGTATCCAGGCATGTCCTGTTGGTGCCTGGGGCTCTGAGCACCCGACTACCAGTGGAGGCCAGTGACACTGTGTTTGAAGAAGGGCCTAGGGTTGAAGTGTTTGGGAGCAGTCGGAAGCAGTGTGGTCAGGGCATGGCCAGCGGAGTGGTTGTACAGTTCCCTCACTTCCGAGTGTGTGTGGCTCGACACTGTGGTGGTGGTGTTTGGGATCGGTGTGAAGGAGAACAGGACAGGGTGTCCACCAGACAAGGCAGGATTGGCCAAGGGTTGGGCAAAGAGTGGGCTTGTTGAGTCCCTGGTGAGCGGCAAGTAACCCTGAGGCAGTGGGTAGGGACGAGGAGGGAAGGCCTTGGCAGATTGGCCAGTAGACCTAGAACCAAGTGACTCAGGCTGTGGAACTAGACCCACACTCTGTTTTTCTCACTGTAGCCTTCCACCAGGCCTTTGACTGCTAGATGGGGCCTTGTGCATGCCAGGATGTGAATGCCCGGAGGCTTTGAGGGGCAGGCAAGTCAGTGGGGCCAGCAAGGTTTGAAGGAGGCAGCAAGGCACTGTCTGGCAGTTGCCAGTCATGAAGCAGGCAGTGCTGCCATTGTTCCTGGAGCCTGGGAATTGCCTCTGGTATTTAAATGTGGGAATGGTTCTGAGAGGTGATTTGTTAAATGAAATATGACTGGGATTTTGCTGGGAAGAGAGGACTCCGGAGATGCTGCTGCTCCTGCTATGGCCTCTCTACCTTCAGCACACCTCCGATACCACACACTTCCTAGTCTGCATCCCAAGGCACATAACCTACTTCTTCCTTAAGCTCAGCTTCTGAAACTGAACCCGATCTTGGCAGCTAAGACCCTGGAGGTCCATGTCCTCCCACCCCATACCCCAGACTTTGCCCTCATTGGGACTAGCCTGCTCTTCTGAGTGAGAGCCAGCGGTCTTCCCACACTCTTCTCAGAGGCTGAGGAACCCTGTTTGGCAGAAAGTATGGTTAGCAGCTACCCCCAATGTTTACGCTGCTTTGGACATGGAGATAGGGCAAGGAGGTTGTCACTGGGAAATGGTGTACTCCAGGTACGAGAAGCCACTGGAAGACAGAGGTACCAGGTTGCTCCTTCAGGTAGTCCAGGCCTCTCCACACCTGCCTCAGCCTGAGTAGGCCTCTCTTCTGGGCTCCTGAGTGTGAGGGCTCCCAGAGTGCTACCTGAGAAAATGGGGAAGCAGAAGGCCTGGGTGCTGTGTGATTACTCTGGGAGTTGAGAGGGAGCCCAGTGGAGGCCACTGTGCTGGAGGATGAGGGAGGAGCCTGGGGCTGGAGAAGAGGAAAACAGGATGGGGCAGGCAGAGGTGGTTCTTCTGGTATGGCGGGTGATGCCTAGAGGAGGGAAGAGATGGACTCTAGTTGGCTTTGAGTGAAGCGGCTTGGCGAGGATGGCAGGTGTCAGGTCTGGATGACAGGAAGAGGGAGGGGCTCTGCAGGCTGTGGGCTCAGTGCAGTGTGTGGAGAACTGATACCAAGCAGGGAACAGTGATTAATGCAGACTGACCGCGTCTCATGCCCAGGTGTCCACCTCCAGGGGACTGTTTGGGATCTAAGGACTGCCAGCCTATGGTATGCTTCAGAAGCCATCCACCGTCTTAAACATGCTCATTGTAGGGACCATGGGTGTAGGATGGAGGATGCTGACTTGGTCTCTGCAGGAAGTGCTCCAGCCAGGATCGATTTGATGCCAGAAAGTTGGAAGCTGACGAATTGGATAGTTACTGTGGGTTACATCAAGTCTCGTCGCCCTTATTGTCATCTCTTCCCATATTTGTAGCAGGAGATTGGTTTGGCTTATCTTCAAGGCTTCCCAGAACTCTAAAATCTTGTTTCTTAGATCCTCTTTCAAGATCAGTGTAGTGACCCAGGCACCTCACCATGTGCCTCCTAGTAGATGTCACCACCTTCCTTTTCCCTCTAGAGTGGTAGTTCTCGTAACCGTCGGTTGTGACCCGTTTGGGGGTGGAAGACTCACGGGGTTGCCTGAGACTATTGGAAAACAGATATTTACAATTCATAACTAACAAAATTACTGTTACGAAGTAGCAACAAAAATAATTTTATGGTGTGAGGAACTATATTAAAGGGTTGAAGCACTGGGAAGGTTGAGATCCACTGCTCTAGAGGATTATTCTGAATTGAGGTGTGATGTGGTCTGTTTTCTTTAGGGCTTTGTGGTGTGTGGGGGTTAAAACTCACATGGCTGCAGCCAGTGTGACTCCCCCTGGCTCCCTAGACCTGCAGCAGCCTGGCTTCTCCAAGACCCTCCTGGGGACCAAGTTAGAAGCCAAGTACCTGTGTTCAGCGTGCAGAAACATCCTACGGAGGCCCTTCCAGGCCCAGTGTGGTCACCGCTATTGCTGCTTCTGCCTGAACAACATCCTCAGGTGTGCATGGCATGCTGCCCGAGTGGGCAGGGGCAAGTGGGTGGGTCTGATGCACTATCTAGTAGAGTGGTTGTTAGTACAAATTCTCCTTGGATTCTGGAGGCTTACCCCAAACTAAGAAGGTAAAATTTACCACTTAAAACCATTGATTGAGCTGGGTATAGTGAAACAGAATCCCAGCACTCAGGAGGCAGAAGCAGGAGGATCTCTGAGCTCAAGGCTATCCTAGTCTACAAGTGAGTTCTAGGGCTATGTAGATTTTGTCTCAAAAAAAAAAAAAAGTAAGAAAGAATTTAGAATTGATCTTAGAAAGATATGATAGCGTGTTCTTGTTTCCAGCTCTTGAGAGGTTGAGATTGGAAGCAGATGTTTGAGGTCATTCTTGGCTACATAACAAGTTCAAAATCAACCTCAGAAGTCAGAGAGATGTCTTAGTGGATGAAGGCACTTGCTACCAAACCTTGTGGCCTGAGTTTAAGCCCAATGATCCACACACAGTGAAAGGAGGGACTTCCCACATTGTCCTCTGACCTCTCCCTGAATGCCTTGGTACATGTTTACACATACAATACATTTTTTTAAAAGATTTATTTAGTTATTATGTATACAATGTTCTGTCTATATGTATGCTTACAGGCCAGAAGAGGGCACCAGATCTCATTACAGATGGCTGTGAGCTACCATGTGGTTGCTGGGAATTGAACTCAGGACCTCTGGAAGAGCAGCCAGTGCTCTTAACCTCTGAGCCATCTCTCCCACAATACATTTTAAAAATGTAATTAAAAAATTAAAATGTAACAGTGGGGTTGAGTAGAGAGATGGTGAAGTGCTTGCTGTGCAGTCATGGCTTGGGTTTGATCCCCTCCATCCATGTAAAAACTTGGGCATGGTAATATGTGTGTGTAGTGACATCATATGCCTGGAGACAGCGATAGGAGGACTCTTGAGGCTCAGTGTTTAGCCTAACCTAATCTGTGCGCTCTAGGTCCTGGTGAGAGTTCTGTCTGAAAAAAGGTGGGTGGTACCTGAGGAGGAATACCTGATATTTGACCTCGGCTTACACACACACACACACACACACACACACACACACACACACACACATGCACCTGTGTTCACACGTGATAATTCATGCACACAAATGAAAACATAGGTTATATATTATTTTTGGACATGTGAAATTAAGTATAATTCATTATTGTTGGTTTCACAGGCACAAGAAATTTTACTGTGAGGATTGTAGCTCCCTTAGGCTGCTCTGGTGGATGCATTGATGTCATGTGGGCGGGTGGCTGATGTGTACAATGTATGAAAGGCAGCAGTGCATGTGGAGAAGATAAACAGACCCATGTTTTTCTGCCATGTGTTTGGAGTGTCAGGTTTACCAGAGAGCCAATGCCTTGTTCACAAGTGAAAGAAATGAAGGCTGGAGTTGAGGCTCAGCGATAAAACACTTACCTACCTGGCATTCGCAAAGCCATGCTTTGGTCCCTGAAGTCACAAATTCAAAAAGAAAAAAGGAAGAAATGAGTTGGCTTTGCAAGTTCAAGCCCCGATACCCTTTTCTGCATTTGAATCTTCTCATTTGTAGTTTTTGAAATATCGTGCAGTTGACATACTTGTGATCAAAGATGAGAAAAATTACGAATGACTGGTGTGGAGCTGGATTGCGGGCTGAGCCAACGGTGCTCAGTTAATTTCTGCAGCAAATTTTGCAGTGGGATTTTCTGTTTCCTTTGTTACCACTAGCTCTGGGCCTCAGAATTGTGCTGCCTGTGTCCACGAAGGCCTGTATGAAGAAGGCATTTCTGTTTTAGAGAGTAGTTCGGTAAGTACACTGTATTGAGTTAAACAAGTCAAAACGAACAGAAAATATTTAGAAATTTTGTTTAGTAACATTGGTAACAGAATGAGAAGTTGGGAGTTAGGAGTGGCCTCTCATGATTGGTTTGGGGTGGAAAGATTGGGAAGCAGAAGCATGGCTTAGCTGGTCCTTTGTTATCTTCTGCTCCGTGTGCTGACTCAGGAGAATGGCACAGGTTGTTTTGGGTAGGGTCTCTGATCTAGATGTTGCTTCATAGGCAGTAGGGTGCTGGGAGAAGGTATAACCCAAGAATGTTTCTGTTCCAGGCTTTTCCAGATAATGCTGCCCGCAGGGAGGTGGAGAGTCTGCCAGCTGTCTGTCCCAATGATGGGTGCACCTGGAAGGGAACCTTGAAAGAATATGAGGTAGAAAGACATTTCTGTTTTGGTCTGGTGGCTGAAATCTCCAGCAGTGGACTTTGGGGAATTCTACTCCACAAACATTTTTTTAAAACGATTTGTTTATTTGTATTTTATATGCATTTGTGTTTTGCTGGCATGTGTGTCTGTGTGAGAGTATTGACTACTGGAGCTGCAGATAGCTGTGAGCTGCAATGTGGGTGCTGGGAATTGCAACTGGGTCCTCTGGAAGAGCAGTCAGTGCTCTTAACCTCTGAGCCATCTCTCCAACCCTACAAAACAGTTCTTATGGAAGCTGTTCTCTACTCCTGCTGGGACTGGCCTGGCTAATGGATGTGAAAAAAGCATTGCTCCTTAGAAAGTGTCCCTTTCTGAGAGTAAGCTGCTACATGACTGCAATCCCAACACTTTGGAAGCTGAGGCAGGAGAATCATGAGTTCAGGATTTATTTGGCCTACCTAGTGAACCTTTGTGGTTTTTTTGTTTGTTTTTGTTTTTTGAGATGGTTTCTCTGTAGCTTTGGAGCCTGTCCTGGAACTAGGTCTTGTAGCCCGGGCTGGCCTCGACTCACAGAGATCCGCCTACCTCTTCCTCCCTAGTGCTGGGATTAAAGCCGTGCGCCACCACTTCCCGGCTTTTATTTTATCTCTTTGTTTTATTTTATTTTATTTTATTTATTTTTTTTTTGTTTTTGTTTTTGTTTTGTTTTTCGAGACAGGGTTTCTCTGTGGCTTTGGAGCCTGTCCTGGAACTAGCTCTGTAGACCAGGCTGGTCCGAACTCACAGAGATCCGCCTGCCTCTGCCTCCCGAGTGCTGGGATTAAAGGCGTGCGCCACCACCGCCCGGCTTTATTTTATTTTTTAAGAGCACCTTTTCTGAAACCCAAATAGTGCAGCATAGGCCTATACCATAGAGTTTGTTTCTTCTTTCCATGTCTCAAGTTCCTACCCTACCCCAGAGGTACAGGAGATTTGTAGCTACCTTAGGTAAGGAGCTAGTGCCATGTTGGCCTTGGTAACATCACATTTGCTTAGGTTGCAGATCTCTAATTCTTTGTTGGAAACTGCAGCTTCTAAGGTCAGGGAGTTTCTGTGTTGTATATCATACCCACAAGGTTTTCTTCTTGTTACTTGTTTTCTGGGTTTGTTGGTTTTTGTTTTGTTTTTGTTTTTTTGAGACAGGATCTTTCTCTGTAGCCCTGGTTGTCCTGGAATTCACAGAGATCCACCTGCCTCCTGAGTACTAGGATTAAAGGTGTTCACTATCATGGCTAACTCATAAGGGTTCTCTTGTTTTGATTTGTGTTGACACTGGAAATTGTTCAAGTACTGGGTATATTTGTTATGTGGTCATGGAAAGACATCTAAAAGACAGTGGCAGAGGAGGTATACGGACAGTGTGGTGTAGTGGGATATTAGTGTGAGCCCCACGTCACCTTTACGCATCTTCAGTTAACCCTGCATCACAGAGACCAGGTGATTAGGAGGCCACTGGGGTCTACCAAGTTACTCACTGTCCTTTGTTGGCTCAGACAACAACCTCCAAAAAGGCTTTGTCTCAGCTAGACATGGTTAGGTACACCTATAATCCCAGTTCTTGGGAGGCAGAGACAGGAGGACCATATGAATTCAGGGGTAGCCTGGGCTGCTTAGTGAGACCTCGTCTCTTTTGCGCTCTGCCATGTGTGTATGGCTACATGTCCCATGTCCTGTGGACTGATGACACTTTGGGTTTCATTTTGCTAGCTGAGCAGTTTGGGCTTCACTTGGGTGAGCAAGAAGCTGTAGTATTCTTTTCTAGCATGGTGTCAGGGCCTGGTGAGGAGCCATAGTCTCAGTATATCCTTAAAGTGAAATGCCTAGGGCTGTCTCGGAAAGAGATGGCCCCGAGGAAAGTCGGGAGGATGCAGGAGAATGTTGGTGTAGGGAATGAGGACCCTATGTAACATTTTGCTCTTGTGGATGTTTGAGAGACCCCTGGGGCAGGTGGAAAAATAGTTCCCAGCCCTGTTAGGCTCTAGATTCCTCTGGGATTTCTGTGGCCTCCAGGCCTGTGGTAATCGAGGTCAGTGGCTGTGTGGGCCTCTGACTGATGGTTAGGGACTGCAGCCAGGCTATGGGCTTGGTGCCATGTGGCTTTGCAGGCATGCAGGCTGGAAAGTCCCTGGCTGCACCCTTCGAGAGGTCTGGAAAGTCCCTGAGATGAGTTGGGTTTGGTCACGTGGGAGCGCAGGCACAGCTCTGTCTTAGCTGATTTTATTGATAAAAGCGTCTCACTGGTGGGCAAATGTCACAAGTCAGGACAGAAATTATCTACTGTGTGTAGTCATCTTTTCTTGATTTTCTTACTGGAAACTAAGGTTGTGACAACAACATTTGTCTTATGGTTTGAATTATTTAAAATGTCTGGAAAGTTGGAGAAAAATCCTGCTTAGTCTTAGCTTTGTTTTTCCATTATGGTGATGCCTGTCGTTCTGAAAACGGACCGACAGCCCTGTTAAAATATGCTATCTCAGAGGCAAGGCGTGCACTGCATACCTGTTTTCCCTCACAAGGGAAGACAAAGGCAAAGCAAGCCTGGTGTCTGTGTCGTAAGTTCCAGACCAACCAGGACTACAAATACTCAGGAGCACCTGGCACTGGGGGGCAGATCTCTAGTGTCCATGGCCATTGTATTTTCTTTTCTTTTTAATCTTTTTATGTGTTTTATCTGCATGTGTGTATGTACATACACCACATGTGTGCCTCGTGCTCAGAGAGAAACCAAAAGGTGGCACTGGGTCTCCTAGTACTGGAGTTAAGATTGGTTGTGAGCCCCCTGTGTATTCTGGGGATTGGACCTGAGTCCTCTGTAAGAGCAGCAAGTGCTCCTAACTGGAGTTGTCTCTCCAGCCCACAATTATGTGTTCTTATGAAATTCAGTTATAGTCAGATGGTGGTGGCACACTCCTTTAATCCCAGCACTTAGGAGGCAGAGGCAGGCGGGTCTCTGTGAGTTTGAGGCCAGCCTGGTCTACAGAATAAGTCCCAGGACAGCCAGAGCTACACAGAGAAACCCTGTCTTAAAAAAACAGCAAAACAAACAAATAAAAACCTGAAGAAAAAAAAAATCAGTATTGTCAACTGTATCTGTTTAAAATGTTCAATTTGAATTCTGGTTGAGTAAATACTGATGTATTTTGATTGTGTCTGCCAGGACTGGTGGGGAAACAGAGCTTTGTCCTTGTTGCCTGAGTGTGTTGGGGACAAGTGTATCTTCTGCCTATGACTCTTTGAGCTCAAGACCTGAGGACCAGCATTTGGCACCTGGTCCCCCTCCAGAACCCATCTAAAAAAGTCAGGGATGGCAGCATACTCCTGTCATCTCAGTGTTGGGGAAGCAGAGACAGTAGGCTCCCCGGGTTTGGGGACTGACCAGCATAGATTAATCAGTGAGCTCCAACCCAGGTCATTTTCAGGACCTGAAGTCAGCTGGGAATTGAAGCACCCATGCAGGGCATTGAACCCAGGGCCATGAACATAAAAAGCACATACTGGGCCGGGAGGTGCTGGCACATGACTTTCATCCCAGCACTCAGAGGCAGAGGTAGGCGGGTCTTTGTAGTCTTCAGAGTGAGTTCCAGGACAGCCAGGGCTGTTAAGACAGAGAAACCCTGTCTCGAAAAAGAAAAAGGAAAAAAAAAAAAAAAAGCACATACTCTACCATTCCTACATTCTCAGCCCAGGGGAAAAGTTTTATTGAAATTTGTCGGGATCAGAGGTTCAAGGCCATCCTCAGCTACATAGAAAGTTTGTGGTCAAGAACAAATTGCTTAAGATCCTATCTCAAAAACATAGAGCAACTTTGAGCAGTGGGCTGAGAGGCAAGTCAGTGCTGGGCTCCCGGTGCCCACCAGGCTCTCAGCTGTCTCGCCACCCTTGTTCCCATGGGGATTGTGTCAAAGCAAGTCTAAGCTACCTTGTCATTTCTTAATTTCTTTTCTAATATAGAGGGTTGAATCCAGGACTGTGTGCATTCTAGGCTTTCTACTCCCATGTGTACAGCTTTGAGTATTTTGTGTGAATGGGTGTGTATGTACATGTGGCTGCACAGAGGTCAGCCTTGGGTGTTGTTCCTCAGGAGCTGCCTTCTTTATTTGAGAAATGGTTTCTTACTGACCTGGAGCTCACCAGTGAGTCTAGGCCGGCTAGCCGTCTTACCTCAGGTCCCTTTATCTTTGTTTTCCCAACATTGGGGTTACAGGAGTACGCTGCTCTATTTGGCCTTTTTTTATGTGGAGTTTGGGGTCAGAACTCAGGTTTCTGTGTTTGGGTGACAAGTGCTTTATCAACTGAGCCATTTCCCTAACCCTAAGTCCTATAGAGCCTCTTAGCTAAATTGTAGTCCCTCTTTTTGCTTGTTTTTATAAGCAGGAGTTATGGGAGTTATGGGCACACAACACATCTGTGTTCCTGTGTGTCCTGTTGTGGGGGTTGCCCAGCTTTCAGACCTAGCATGCCTTTCCTTGTCTAGAATCCCACCTCTTTCTGGGGTTTGAATGAGGGCTCCTCACCCCTGTCCTCTCAGAGAGCCTCCTTCAGAGTTGTTTGGATGACTCTGAGCTGCAGCCTTCATCTTGATGACCTGGCTGATGGTTCTTCTGCCCTGCTCTGGACTTGCCTTCAGCCTCAGGAACTTAACCTCTTGTCTGTTAACCTTCTCCTGGCAGTTTTCCTCTTGTTTCTTCTACTTTAAAGCCTCTCTGAGCTCAGTGAGATGAGCCAGGTCCAGGGGGGCGAGTCCATAGTGGGGGCAGTGGGTGAAGGTTTCCAGAGGCGGTGGTGTCTATTAATGGAGAGTGAGTTAGCGTTTAGAAAGATAGTTTTATGAATGAATAGTGGAGGCTGCATAGTATGGAGTATGCTTCCTGTACTGACCTACGTGCTCAACATAGGGTCTCAATGTGTGTGGTTGGCACACATCTTTAATCCCAACACTTGGGAGGCAGAGGCAAGTGGATCTCTTGAATTTGAGGCCAGCCTGATCTAAGGAGCCAGTTCTAGGACAGCCAAGTCTACACAGAGAAAACCTGTCTCAACCTGCATCCTCCCTGGGGAAAAAAAAAGCAGGAAGGGAAAACAAAATGATAGCTTAGACAACCTCTAATGCTATGTTCTCTGGTAGCTGTGTGTCTTAGTGTTGCAAAGAGACAGCATGACCAAGGCAACTCTTATAAGGAAAGCATTTAACTGGGGACTTGCTCATTGCCCTGTCTCTCCTGGTTTATAGGTAGGATGTCCCTGTATTACTGCTCTTTGGTCGACTGGGAGGCACAGTGCATCTATGTCATGGTTTGCTCCTGTTCAGTGTGCTGGGCTGGGGTCCAGGGTAGTCTCTTGTGGATCAGTTTGGCGCCTCACAGCATAGATCTCAGGTGTACATCCTGTACATTGATACATTGATAACAGCTGGCTCTAGGCTGGCTTTCCAACATCTTGGCCTGGCCATTTATGTGGTGCATTACGCCTTCGCTAGGTAGCCATGCCCAGAGCTGCAGGTATGGGAGCCATGCAGCTACCTTCACTCTCTCTCTCTTCTATATCTTTTGTCTCCCAGCTCCACTGTAACAGTGACGAGGTCAGAACTGGCAAGATCTGCAGCATGGCCCCGCTGTGTGTTTGTCTTTATACTGGAGAACAATGTACTTACTTAGTTGGGAACTGACACGGGGAGGGGTGGGTGTCATGGGTGTATAGTTGAAGAAGAAAGTGTCCTTGGGGTACCACCCACACAGACCAGCTGCAATGGAGCAGCTCAGTCTAGTTCAGCTAGGAGTCAGCATCCCTGGTTTCCGAAAGTGGGAAGAGGGTACACTGACCTGCGTCTGCATAGTGCGTGATCTTGAGGAGGTGGGCAGGATAACATGGAACTCCAAGCAACTTGCACGTGCAGCGGCTACCTGCAGGGTCTGCATACTATCTTCATATACCTCCTTTTGTTGCCAGAGCTACCATGAAGGACAGTGCCCGTTCCTGCTTACCGAGTGTCCTGCATGTAAAGGCCTGATCCGCCTCAGCGAGAAGGAGCATCACACTGAGCAGGAATGCCCCAAAAGGAGCCTGAGCTGCCAGCACTGCAGGGCACCCTGTAGCCGTGAAGACCTGGAGGTGCGCTGGGCGGGTACAGCCTGGGTGGCAGTGTCTATAACATGGGCATTCAGCTAGAGTTTGCTGCCATGGTTGGAGTTTGCTTAGCTTCTTTATACTGGTTTCCATGGTGCCATGGGGGTTAGAAGGTTCTTGGTGGGACCTTGCTTCGGTATGTAATTACAGTAAAGAGTACTTGTTGCTCTTCTAAAGGACCTGGGTTCAGTTCACAGCACCCACATGATGACTCAGTAATCCATAACACCAGTTCCAGGGATCCAATGCCCTTTTCTGACTTATGTGGGCACCAGGCAAGCATATGGTTTACCAGACAAAACACTCATACATATAAAATAAATAAATCTAGAATTATATACATGTATATTTTGAGACAGGTTCTCATCTGTAGCACTGGCTGGACTGGAACCTGCTATGTAGACCAGGCTCAAACTCGCAGATCCTCCTGACTCTCTCAGGTGCTGGGATTAGTGGCTTGTGCCACCATACAGGACTGAAAAAATTTGCAAGTACTTTTCTTGTTTTGTTTGTTTTTCAAGACAGGTTTCTCTGGGTAACCCTGGCTGTTCTAGAACTTGCTCTGTGGACCAGGCTGGCCTCGAACTCAGAGATCTGCCTGCCTCTACTTCCCAAGTGCTGAGATTAAAGGCGTGAGCCACCACTGCCTGGCTATTTTCAAGTGTTTACAATTGAGTGTGGTAACTCATAATCCCAGTACTCAGGACCCCACCTCCCTCAAACAACAAGAAAAATGTCTCATTTGAGAAAAGTTGAAGCACAGCAGGTAGAGGAAACAGCACTGTGATCTACCAGCTTTGTGTCACTCTCCATCAGCAAGTCTGGACTGTCATTCCATCTGCGGAGTTCAGGGTTATTATCAGTAACAGTTTGCCATGGCTTTCACCAGGGCCTGAGATAATCTCTTTCCAAAGACAGAAGGTTTATCTTGATTTTGGAGTATATGATAGGAGCCAGTGGTGGTGGTGCACACCTTTAATCTCAGCACTCAGAAGGCAGAGGCAGGCGGATCTCTGTTCGAGGCCAGCTTGGTCTATAAGAGCTAGTTCTAGGACAGGCATCAAAGCTACACAAAGAAACCCTGTTTCGAAAAATAAAAAAAAATAAAAAAAAAAAGAGAAGAAGAAGAAATAAAAAAAAAAAAAGAGTAAGGGACTCAGAGTTCAAGGCCAGCCTGATCTACAAGAGCTAGTTCCAGGACAGACTCCAAAGCTACAGAGAAACCTGTCTCGAAAAACCAAACAAAAGAAAGAGTAAGGGACTCAGTGTCCCCTTTGAGGGCATGTTCCCAATGGCCCTAGAATCTTCATTTGGCCACACCTTTTGGATTACATCACATGCACACCTATGCTAGGGACTAAGCCTTCAGTGTAGAGATCTTTGGGGATCACTCCAAGGCAGAACATATCTATAATTTAACAATATTTGCTCTGTCACTTTCTTGCTTGTCCACATTCCCACTGTGAGACCGATCACTCCTGTTGGAGTCAGGGTCATCAGTATCTCTTTTTCCAGGCCTTTCTCAGCTGCCTGCTGTTATTGCTCTCCACTCCTGGGTGTTGGCACTCTGTTCCTCTGTTGTATGATCAGGACAGACATCATCTGATGTTGGGCACTCTGTAGTAGCATATCAAGGTCTCTCTAAAAGATAATCTGGCTGTGCTCTGGGGCCGCGTGAGAATAGTATAGTCTGGTTCTGTGAAAGTCCTGCACAGCCATTTCAGTCTCTACATAGACCCCTTGTTCTCTTCTTTCTTGTGTTCTCTGGAGGCTATAGAGGAAGTAGAAAGTCCTGCAGTCTGAATTTGCATCGGTATCCTCCTGGATGCTGGCTGTTGTCTTGAGCACGCCATGTGTCCCCGTCCCCCTCTCCTTCACTGCTCTGTCCTGGTGTTGGCATCCCCGTCTAATGTTTCTGTTTTTCTTTAAGGCGCACTATGAGGTCTGCCCTAAGTTCCCCTTAACCTGTGATGGCTGTGGCAAGAAGAAGATCTCTCGGGAGAAGGTAAAGCGACCCCTTCCATCTTCTAAAGCCCATAGGTGCTAGACCTGATGGTCAGTGGTGAAGGTCTGTCATTCGGGATAGTCTGTGGCCTGCTGCCCAAAGGGAGAATAGCCGCAAAGTGAGACTTACTTGCTATCACCTGAATGTGCATGTTCTGGGGCATAGTGACTAGTCCTTCAAAGTTCATTTGGATTTTTTGTTTGTTTGTTTGTTTATTTATTTTGAGATAGGGTCTCATTATATATCCCTGAGTGCCTAGAATTTGCTATGTGGACAAGGCTGGCCTTAAAGTCATGGATTTGCCTTAAAGGCACATTTCACCCTGTCTGGCATTCCCCTACTCCCATCCCTACCAGGGTTCCTGGTAGCCCTGGTTGGCCTGGAACTTATGTGTAACCAAGGATAACCTTGAATTCCTGATCCTCCTGCCTCCAACTCCCAAGTGCTAGGATTGTAGGTATACACACACAGTCGTGGTTTGTGTTGTTATGGTTGGCAGGTTTCTTTTTGGGAATGGGGGACATGTAGTGTTGGGGTTGGATTCAGGGCTTCATGCTTACCAAGCAAACTTTCTACCATTGAGCTGGGCTTCCTTCTTGTTGACAAAAAAAAAATATACCGCTCACCACCAGGAAATAAGTAGTTTATTTTTTAATTAAATACAAATGACCATGGCCCAAGGACCCCACATAATAAGATTTTTGGTGTATAGCCCTAGCTGGAACTCATTCTGTAACCAAGCTGTTTTAGAACTCACAGATCCACCTGCCTCTGCCTCACAAGTGTTGGGATTAAAGGTGTGCTCCACAATGCCTGGCTTATTATTATTTTTAAATGATGTATTTATGTTTATTTCATGTGCATTGGTGTTTTACCTGTGTGTGTGTGTATATATATATACATATACATACATACACACACATATATGTTTGAGGGCTTCAGATCCCCTGAAACTGGAGTTACAGACAGTTGTGAGTCGCCATGTGGGTGCTGGGAATTGAACCCAGGCCCTCTGAAAAATCAGCCAGTGCTCTCAACCTCTGAGCCATCTCCAACCTCCTCCACTCTCTTTTTTTTTTTTTTTAAGTTGAGTTTTCACAGGGCAAGCCTGACCATGCTTGCTGCCTAGAATGGTAGATTAAAAAAAAAAAAAATGACTTCTTACCCTCACTGGATCTCAAAGAGGTGGTCTTTCTCCTGCCCTTGCCAGACACGTGGCCTTGGTCGCGTGTGAGATGTTTGTGTTCAGTGGAGTGTGTGCTTAGGTTTCATGTGTTCATCACAACACAACATGTTATGTGCCCCTCCATAACACAAAGGACTGGCCTGTTTTTACGCTCTATGCTTGTGAATCTGAATGTTCTATCTGAGGCCCAGGTATTCAATATTGTCTACTCCCAAGACTGACTGAAGTGCTGGGCGGTGCTGGCGCACACCTTTAATCCCAGGAGAGGCAGGCGGATCTCTGTGAGTTCAAGGCCAGCCAGGTCTAACAAGAACTAGTTCCAGGACAGCTAGGATTGTTACTTAGAGAAACCCTGTCTCAAAAAAAAAAAAAAAAACCTGACAGACATAACAGCTGGCTTGCTTTCTGTGTGGCATGGATCTGACCCAAAACCAGGAGGTAGACTTTTCCACAGCAGTCCTGAAATGTCTGCTTCCCAATGATTGACAGTGGAAGTGGCTTGTTTTATCTTAATCTTGCATGACAATGAGAAGGCCCATAGGGTGCAACTAGTGGTTTCTTTTGTTAATTCTGACTTGATCAGTACATTAAGCAAATGGCCCAAGTGAGGTAGGGAAGACCCTTAGTAATGACAGTGACGCTGGTAACTTTATCCTCCTGATCCTTCAGTTTCAGGACCATGTTAGAGCATGCAGCAAGTGTCGGGTTCCCTGCAGATTCCACACCGTGGGCTGTCCTGAGATGGTAAGCCAGGAGTCTGCTGTTAGGGGCTGGGGCCTGGCTGGGTCTTTCTGTTATGCTAACCTGTCTCCAGCTTTGGCTCCTCCAAGGTTCCTCAGCCTCTCTGGTATCTCCCCTGGCCATCTCTCAGTAATCCTTCTTCCTGCCCTCAGGTGTCCAGGCTTACTCCATGGAAATCTCTAGGTGGCTTTGATCACTACCTATCTCTGAGAGTACCTAAATACATATGCTTCTGACTTCTCGAGCCTCCTACGGTATCTGATGGATACCTTAGAGTACACCTTGACCTTCTAGCTCCTTGTTCTCCACCCTCTTCCCATCTTTCCCAGGGGGGAAAAAAGCACATTGATTACTCAGTTGTCTAGCTAAAGCCCCAGTGCTCATGGTCTGCAAGATCCTTTTCTTGTCTTGTATTCACATAAATAATAATAAATCCTTGGCTGTTGGCAGATGACTCCTGTCCCTTGAAGTCCTGTTTTGTTACTTCATCTCCTGCCTGGAGACAGGCTTCCTATGTTGGTCGGGCACCTTCTGACCACTCTGCTGCTCTGATCTGTTAAAGTAAAAGCAAGATATGACCCTCATGTGGCCTCACCAAAATTTGATTCACGGTTACCATGGTCTCTCTCTCCCAAGACCGCTGGTCTCTGCCCTGGTCACTGACCTTGCTGTCCTTGAAGAAGCTGACTTCCCCCCACTCCCTATTCCCCCGTTGCTTTGCTATGTTTCTGGTGATTCCTTCTGGTCTCCGCAGGTCCCTGTCCTCATGTGCCCCTTCTCTGTTCATGTAGACCTGCCCCCTCCCTCATTTTCATCCTGCACAAGCTATTTCTCCATTTATTGTCCCTCTTTATCTGTACAATGGGAGCCCCTGGACATTATTTCCCATCGTGACTCATGACCATGTGCTGGTCCACAGAGGTCCTGTAGGGTGTGTACATTAGGGGTAAGAGAAGGCAAGCTGAGGATGTGGTGTCTGGTGACACAGCATCTCTCTCCTCTTCTATTGGAGGTGGGGATAGTTGCTACCTCCATTTCAAAACAACTGAGTTCCCTGCAGAAGGTAGTTGAGAAGCTACCCAGAAGCCGAGCTGCTGTCACCTCGGTCCTGGGCTTTTTCAGTTCATAGGGTGCTCCAGTTAAGCTCTAGCGTTGTGTGACCTTGCTGGCCCCTGCAGGAGAAGCTACTGAGCAGATGGCATGTCCTTTTGTGTTCATCTTAGTTCCAGCAGCCGCCTGCCCTGTGAGGTGCACATGCGTTTCCTGCTGGGCCTCCTGTTACTGGGGGCTCGGGTGTCTTGGTGTCTTTTTACTTATGTTTTGTAAATATTTTTATTACATTTATTTTGTTTGCTTGTGTGTAAGCCCTGGTATCCATGTGAAACCGTGGACAGCTTTCAGAGTTGGTTCTGTCCTTCCAGCATATGAGGCTTGGTGACAGCACAGGTTCATGCTACGCCATCTTGCCAGCCTTGGTTTTTAGGTTGGATTTGGTTTTTGATTTTTGATGTTTTGTTTTTGTTTTTGTTTTTGAAACAGATTTTTACTATATAGCCCAGGCTGATCTTTTTTGTTTTTTGGTTTTTTTTTTAATATTTATTTCTTTATTATGTATACAATAGTCTGTCTGCAGGCCAGAAGAGGGCACCAGACCTCATTACAGATGGTTGTGAGCCACCATGTGGTTGCTGGGAATTGAACTCAAGACCTTTGGAAGAGCAGGCAATGCTCTTAACCACTGAGCCATCTCTCCAGCCCCGCCCAGGCTGGTCTTAAACTTAGTATGTAGACCAGGCTGGCCTTGCACTCATAGAAATCCATCTGTCTCTGCCTCTTGAATGCTGGAATTGAAAGCATTTGCCTCTGTGCCTTTTTATTTTTCTTAATTAGCACACAGTGTAATGATATTATTGTAATTTTGAAATCTAACTTTTCAAAATTGTTTACACAAAGGGCTAGAGAGATGGCTCAGCGGTTAAGAACACTAGCTGCTCTTCCAGAGGACCTGGGTTCAGTTCCTGGCACCTACATGGCAGCTCACAACTATTGTAGCTTCAATTGCAGGGGATCAGACATCATCACACAGACATATATGCAGACAAAACACTAATATGCACAAAATAAAAATAAGTACATCACTTTAAAAAATTGTGTGCACAAGTTTGAAAATATTTAGTTGTTTCTTAGTTACTTTTTTTTAATTGTTGTGTAATGACACCATGACCAAGGCAACTTTTAGAAGAGTTTATTTGGGACTTAACAGTTTCAGAAGGATAGAGTTCATGACTACAGTGGGGGGGGGGGCAGCATGGCATCAGGCAGGCAGGTGCTGGAGCAGTAGCTTAGAGCGTCTATCTCGAGATAACAACCACATGTCCCTCAGTGCAGTGTGGCCACGGTGCCGCACCACCTGGGCTGGTTCTGTACAAACACTGTCCTGTCCCGCAGGTGGAGACTGAAGAGCTGCAGGATCACGAGGTGCAGAGGCTGCGGGAACACCTGGCCCTGTTGCTGAACTCATTCCTGGAGTCCCCAGCCTCACAGGGAAGCCAAAGCCAGGTGGGGCCAGAGCTGCTGCAGCGGTGCCACACCTTGGAACAGAAGACGGCCACCTTCGAGAACATTGTCTGTGTCCTGAACCGGGAGGTGGAGAGGGTGGCAGTGACTGCAGAGGCGTGTAGCCGGCAGCACCGGCTAGACCAGGACAAGATAGAGGCCCTGAGTAACAAGGTTTGTGCCTAGCGGGGATAGCAAGTTCTGCATCTCTGGAGCCTGTACAGCATGGACGTTAGACTCAGCCACAGGGTTTGATGGGCTAGCAAGGCCTAGGAGGACATAGCATCGGTGATACAGTGTGCTGGGTTGGTGAAGCTTCTGGGTACATGTAGTGAGGTGGAACGTGTACCTCTACCTCACATTTAGTATATAGCTCTTGGGGACAGAAAAGACTCCAGAGACTTGCAAAAGCTTGTAGTGTGGGAAATGGGAGTTCAGGGTGCATAGAATATAGCAGTTAGGTCCCTGCCTTCTTATCAAAGTTAAGTGATCTCTGCTCTGCAGGTGCAGCAACTAGAGAGGAGCATTGGCCTCAAGGACCTGGCCATGGCCGACCTGGAGCAGAAGGTCTCAGAGTTGGAAGCATCCACCTATGATGGAGTCTTCATCTGGAAGATCTCAGACTTTGCCAGAAAGCGCCAGGAAGCTGTAGCTGGCCGTACACCCGCCATCTTCTCCCCAGGTGCCATTTGTGGTCTTCCCGTCTGCTTCAGAGGCTGTATGGAATGGTTCTCTGGCTGGGGCAGGGCACATACTCAGCTGGCACCAGGAGTGTCTGCATCTTCTTGAGAAGCAAATTGGGCAACATACCCTACTCAGTTGGGAGTCTATAGGTATGAGGAGCTGTTGGGTGCCAGGATATATGTGTATAGAGTATGTCCCTTGTCACCTACAGATGAGTGGGGTGGCTTTTGGGTGAATAAGGAAAGACAGACCTTTCCAAGCAGGGCCATGGCTCCAAACTTGCCTGACTCCCAGTTTCAGGTTTGGTATTTGCTGCAAGCAGGAAGCCTGTGAGGATGTTCCTCACTCTCCTTTCTCATATCCACCTACAGGGTCTTTGTAGGGTGCTCTTCTCCTTAGGGTACCACTGGGTACCTTAGGGTACCAGGTGTGTTCCTGCAGGGTACAGTTTGCTTCCCTTGTGCTCCTTTCTTTGCACTCTGACCATGCCACTGTGCCTGCCTTGCTCTGTTTTTCACAGTTCCCCTGTGTGTCCCTAGAGGTGCCCATAGACCGTGTGATGGCCCAGGCCTTTGTCTTTGTCCCTTATTCGTATCTTCTTCCTGCTCAGCCACTTACTTCATAATGTCGTCACCTGTCGGAACTCAGCCTGCACATACTTCATCTTACAAAACTGCTACTGTAGTAGAGGTTCTGGGATCAAGGCTGGGGCCTTGGGAGACCCTCTCCTACTGTATTAGCCTTGACACTCGCCGGGCGTTCCTGCCCTTGCTGCAGAAGACTGAGCACCGCACTCAGCTCTGCAGCGTGTCCTCACAGCAGTGTCAGCAAGGGCTAGAAGTAAACGAACCTAGAGACACGTGGGCAGCCTGGAGTGCCTGATACTATTTCTAGACTTGGGTAGTCTATGTTGGCAGTGTCTCTGCTTGCAGGTGATTTAGTAGGTGGTAGCCGGTGGAGTGTGCAGGCTCAGGTTACAGGAGTTCCATAGTGGTTCCATAGTGAGTATGGTAAGGGAGCCTGAGGAGCCCATGTCCTTTGCAGCAGTCTTCCTGGGGCCGTAGACAGGGAAAGCTGTCTGTGTGAAAGGTCTGCTTTGGATACGGTTGGTCACCGATGTAGCAGGCAAAGGCTACAAGGAACAGGGGAGGCAGTTTTAGCACTGCATTTGGAGCCTTGCTGCAGAGGCTTAGCTCTGGTGGGTCAGCGGAGCATGGACAGTCCTGTTGCCGTGAGGGTCACTGTAGCAGGCAGCCTTTTGGGAGCAAAGCCACCTGAATACTGTACTGTTGAGCTCTCCCTTGAGAGGATGCACTTTGACTCACAGCTCTAGAGGTTCCAGTCCAGGGTTGATCAGCCACTCTGCTTTGACATGCGGCAGCAGCCTGTGGTTACAGCTGTTCACTTTCCAGCCAGAGACCCCACTGTCTCCTTCAAGGGCACACCCTCGGGGACTGAACATCCTCTCCAGGCAGCAGCGCTGTTAACAGACAGCCATGGGGTGGGGCATTGCAGATCCACCTATAACTACAGCACGCACAGCTGCTGAGTTCTACAGTAGGCCAGTGTCAAGTGGAAACTGAAAAGCCTGATGTCTAACTTCAGAGGCAGGTCCTACCCCCAGGGCAGGGACACCAGTTTGATTTTCCTTATTTTTGTTCAGAGTTGATGGATCCACCTCACCATCAGCTGTTTACATGTTTTCTTTGCTCTTAACAGTATGTTGTGTGTCTTTCTTTTACCGTTTTTTGGTGGGTTTTTTTTTTTTTTTTTTTTTGAGGCAGGGTTTCACACTATAGCCCATAGCCAAGGTGGCCTCATATGTCTCACCCTGGCTGAACTCGTGTTGGGAGGCTTTGTCTTACACAGCCTTAACCGTGTTCTGGCTGTTTATTACCTATAGAGCGTGGTTTTCAACCTTCCTAATGCTGTGACCCTTTATGTGTTCCTCATATTGTGGTGACCCCAAACCATAAAATTAATCTTGTTACTACTTCATAATTGTAATTTTGCTATTAGGACTCATGATGGAAATATCTGATGTGTAGGATATCTGATACACTATCCCCAAAGTGGTCGCGCCCCACAGGTTGAGAACCACTACCATAGGGGCTGAGGGACATTGACTGCTGATCTGTATTCCTGCTCCTCAGATGCTTCTGCTGAGGCAGGCTTGGGTTCCTGTGGCCTGCACTCCCTTCATAGCTGTCTGAGGACCTCAGCTACTGTCTTTTTGCCACCATAGTTAATCATTGTTAATTCTAAGGGCAGAGATGCAGCAAGAAGGCTCACTGGATTTGTGAGACAGGTCTCTGGAATCCACAGTAAAAGACGTAGGAGAGGCCGGGTAGTGGTGGCACGTGCTCTTTATCCCTGTGGAGGCAGAGGTGGGTGGATCTCTGTGAGTTCGAGGTCAGCCTGGTTTACCGAGCTAGTCCAAGGCAGCTAGGACTGTTAACAGAGAAACCCTGTCTTGAAGGGGGCGGGGAAGAGTAGGAGAAGTCAAGCATTGGTGGCACAGGACGACACAAACCCTGTTCAAACAAAAAGGTGGTAGGAGAGAGCCAGATGTGGTGACGTGGGCCTTTAATCCCAGCTCTCGGGAGGCAGAAACAGGTAGAGGAGTTTGAGGCTAGCCTGATATATCTAGTAAGTTCCAGGTCTACCTAGGAAGACCTTATCTCAAAAAACCGGAAGAAGAAAAGTGCCTCTACACAGTTGTCCTTTGGCTTCTACATACATATCATGGCACGCATGCTCCTTCCTGTGGTATTGCATGTGAGCATACACGCTAGTAACGTTTCTGAAGATAGGGTAGGAGGAATTGGAGTTGGGGGCTTTCCTGAGCTGCATGGCAAAATTGTCTGGGGGCTGGGAGGTTTCTGGAGAGGAAGATCATCCCTTGATAATTCCCAAAAGCTGGAGATTACGTTTTCACGTCGCTGAGGGTGGACTGCGAGTGGACAAGCTGTGTCCTGCCCTGTCCTCACTGGCCCTTTCCGTACTTCAGCCTTCTACACAAGCAGATATGGCTACAAGATGTGTCTGCGCGTCTACCTGAATGGCGATGGCACTGGACGGGGAACGCACCTGTCTCTTTTCTTCGTGGTGATGAAAGGTCCCAATGATGCCCTCCTGCGGTGGCCTTTTAACCAGAAGGTATGAAAGCCAGGATCCTTGGGGGAATATGGGAGTGAGGTTGGGCACAGCTTCCAAATAGCCAGGTAGTCCAAGACAAAGTCTGTCCAGCCCAGGCCTGTTGGTGGTGTGACACACACACGCCCGGCTTCATGACTGACGTGTGTGAAAGTCTCCTGGGGAAGTATGCTTCAAGGGAAGGCCACACCCACAGAGCCCCTCTCTGTGGCTGTCGGAGTGAGGGTGTGTGACTGTTTAAAACCAGAGTCTGCCTTAATTAAGGAGCTGAAGCTTGCAGAGACCAGGTTGGACTGAGGACGGTCCCTTCACTCAGGGCCCAGCTCTCTCACTGGAAGCCAGTGGAGGAGGCAGAACGGGCAGTGAGGTCTAAAAGGCCCAGTGGCCTGACCAGTCCGTGGCCTGCAGTCAGCGTGGGCATGTGCTGTTCCCAGGCGGGAAGCTGGATGCACTGTGGCCAGTGTCTAGTCTACTGAGGCAGGGTAGGACTAGTGTGGGGTTTTCAGGTGACTCACGGGCACATTGTTCCCTTTCTGGATTGACTTCTCTCAGGTAACATTGATGTTGCTGGACCAGAACAACCGGGAGCATGTCATCGACGCATTCAGGCCTGATGTTACCTCATCCTCCTTCCAGAGGCCTGTCAGTGACATGAATATCGCCAGTGGCTGCCCCCTCTTCTGTCCTGTGTCCAAGATGGAAGCCAAGAATTCCTATGTGCGGGACGATGCTATCTTCATCAAAGCTATTGTGGACCTGACAGGACTCTAGCCACCCCTACTATAGCAGCTCAGTGAGGAGCTGCCACACTGGGCCAGGGCCCTGCCACACATGGGTGGGCAGGCTTGGTGCTAGTGCTGGGGGGAAGTGCCTCAGCCTAAAGCCAGTCACCATCACACGGAAAGGCAGGAACGAGCCTCCTGTTGGTCCTCAACTGGTAGACTGAGTGGATGGTCCATTCAGCTCAGGGTCCTTGTGGGACCAGCTGGTGGGGTCTTCTCGGCTTTCCAGGAGAAAAGCTCTTGCTTTTCTGTCTGGGGAAGGGAGAGGCCCTTGGGTGGGGTACTCAGAAAGAGCCTCTCTCGAGAGCTTCAGAGCTACACCAGCGGCAAGAGTGGTAGTTGGCCTTACCCACTCTTGGAAAGGAGGTAGGGGCTGCACAGGAGAAGGGCATCCACCCACAAAGCATAGCCCAGAAAAGAAGCCCTCTGAGACGTAGGCACACCGGAGAGGAGCCTGCCTGGGCTGCACAGCCCTGCTAGGTGGCCTGTACTGGGGAGAAGTGATTAAACTATTCGACGTCTATGACGAGTGGTGTTCATCTGACTCTGGGTTGCCTGCTGGCTCCAGCCCAGGTAGTGGTGACCCTGTGGCCTCTGCTTTCCTCTTCACATTGGCTGTCTCTGCTCCTTATGCCCTTCGAGCCCCCAAGGTTCCATGTGATCTCCGCGTCCTGGGTCTGCCTGGGTAGAGGTGAAGGGCTGACCTTTGGTCTGGCCCATGTACAAGATTTTTTCCTCAGGGTTCTGGACTGGTTCGCTCTTTGGACTGGGTTGGAGTAGAGACACTGTGGTCTGGGTCCTGGGCATCTTTATTAGTCAGAAGGGTATCCAGTCTCCCTCAGTTCATTTTCAGGTCACCACAGTAGGAAATGGGGAGAGCACCAGCTGTGAGCATGCTGTGATTGAGGAGACGCTGCCCTCTCGGCCTGTTCCTGTTTTCTGAGTTTCCACACCATGTGTGTTGGTTTTAAAGCATACAGAAACAGCATGGGATGGCGTCATGGCAGAGAACTGGCCTCACCTGACCGCCCTGTGGCTTGCTGGTGGAGGACACATCTTGTCTTTTTCTCCTGCTTTCTTAAGCTGGTCTCAGCCTGCCTGTCACCTGTGGCCCCAGGAGAGTTGGGTTATGGTTATCCCTTAGATATTTTGTACTTGCTCTGCAGAGAACTGCATCAAGTGCCTTACAGCATATAGCATGTGGGCAGTAGCCTCTTCCTGCAGCTTTTCATGAGGGCTGTGTGTGACCTGTGTGTCTTGTGACTTGTACTTCTCTGAGGACTCTGGGCATCTTTACCAGATTATTGCTCTGGGATTTCTCCATAGGAATTGGCCATTTCTGTCCATTTTTCAACTTTCTTCCTGCTTAGTAAAAGTTTCTGATCTTTCTAGTCCAGCGTGGTGGTGCACGCCTTTAATCCCAGCACTTGGGAGGCAGAAACAGGAGGATCTTTGAGTTTGAGACCAGCCTGGTCTACAGAACCGAGTGCCAGGACAGGCTCCAAAGCTACACAGAAAAACCTTGTCTGGGAAAAAAGAAAGAAATTTCTGATCTTCTATCATTGATCTTTCAGTGTGTTTGATCTTTTTTCTCTGAGACAAAGTTTCTCTGTTTAGCTTTTCTGGCTGTCCTGGAACTTGCTTTGTAGATCAGGCTGGTCTTGAATTCAGAGATCCTCCTGCTTCTGCCTCCCAGTGTTTGAACTTTTTTGGTGTAGAAAAATTCAAAGTTGAGACGATTAGTTAAATAATGGTTTTAAAGTTTGTTTCTATCAGTGGGTTTCTATATTCAGCAGCTCATTTGTTTATAATGTGTGTGTTTTTTTTCTCTAGAAATGCGTCCATTTTAAAACTAGAATTAATGCCGGGCGGTGGTGGCATACACCTTTAATCCTAGCACTTGGAAGGCAGAGGCAGGTTGGATCTCTGTGAATGTGAGGCCAGCCTGGTCTACAGAGCAAGTTCCAAGATAGCCAGGGCTACACTGAAAAACCCTATCTCAGGAGAAAAAGAAAAATTTGATACCTAGATAATGTTTTCGTAGATGCATGGAATACATTTTTTTTCCAAATTGAATATTTTATTAATGTGCACACACACTAGCACATTCAGAATGAGCTGCCTGGGGAAAAAAGACTATGCCTAAGGGGAAGATGAAAAATAAAAAATCCTGTAGGTTTTCATTATTGTAGGCAATTATGTCTACATCACTTACAAAGCTTTTACCAAATCTGTCCGAGGAAGCAAAGTTTGAAAGGGGGGCAAAGTCTTGGGGAAAATTCAACAGTGGCATAGCAGAGCTCTCATATGAGAAAGCTGACATAATGTGGGCTGTTGCTGTGAATTTTCTTTGCAAAATATGGGGAGAGGTTTGTCAGTGGACAGAAAATAAGAGAAGGCAGTGTGAATAGACTTTTGCAGTCAGTATTCCTCACACTATTGCGCAGGGTCATCAGGAAAATGCTTAGTCTTTCTCTGGAACCAGTTTCAGAACTTTTCCAATTGCAGTGGTCTTGCTGTCGCTGTGTCTTTCACATCCTGAATACTTGTCTCCTGAGTACATCCTCTCTGTGAGCTGTGAGACGACCAGCGATATGTGGTGTTTAGGGGCTGTTAGGTGTGCCGTCTGTAATAAAGGAAACCTATATTTGAAGTCAACAAGCAGGATATTTACAAGAGCTTCAGTAGACAGTTGGATCAGTTGAGCCACTTAGGATCTAGCATGTCAAACTCTTGCTAAATGTGACCCCAACTGTAAGACCCGACACAGATCAGATGACAAAAATTCCCTTCTTCGATGATGTTGGTGCAGTCACACTTCAATATTTTGATACCATATTCCAAAGATAATCTTCAGAAATCCCAGTTCTTCAAAGGATTGCTGAAGGTTCTGCCAAAGCTGCCCAAGCGGGTCATCACGCAGAGAATTGCCTTGTTTGACTTCAGAATTTGTAAACCCTGATATGGTACCTTTTGTTTTGCCCAGTGTTTTACTGAGTGCTGAGGAGTGCGCCAAAGAAGAATATGTCAGATTAATTCTTCCTGAATTTGGTCCTGTGTTGTAAACAGCAGGTGCCAGTCCAGATTTTGTTAATTTTTCTACAAAAAACGGATTTGCTCCTATCCAAAACCCCTCCTGACAAGATAAAGAACAGTGTACTGTCCGTGGTCTACAGAGCTCCAGAGACACCTTCCATTCAGACCCAGGAGCTCTGTCTGATCATCATCCCAACTTTTGCAAATCTCATAGACTACCCATCCATGAAAAACGCTTTGATTCCAAGAATTAAAAATGCCTGTTTACAAACATCTTCCCTTGCTGTTCGTGTGAATTCATTTGTCTGTTTAGGCAAGATTTTGGAGTACTTGGATAAGTGGTTTGTACTTGATGATATCCTACCCTTCTTACAAGGAGCCTGCGGTCCTCAGGGGGATTCTAGGTATCTATAAGTGTACTTTCACTCACAAGAAACTGGGAATCACCAAAGAGCAGCTGTCTTGAAAAGTACTCCCTCATCTCATTCTCCTGAGTATCGAAACATTCTTGACCTCAATAAGTTCAGCTCTTTGATTGCTGTCATAAAGGAGATGCTGAGCAGACTGGAGTCTGAGCACAGGACTAAGCTGGAGCAGCTTCTCATGATGCAGGAGCAGCGGAGATCTTTGGAGATGGGAAATCAAATGATGCTTCTGAGGAGATAAGTGTTCCACATGCAGGAAGTCAGATTGACAAGTTCTTCAACAACATTGGAGCAGACCTTCTAACTGGGGTGAGTCAGAAAATAAAGAAGATGGGCCTCATCTCGTAAGGTAAAGCGTCCCATCTGAGGGAAGTCTTTAAAGGTCTCCAGACAGATGGTCCCTGCTGTCCTCAAACACGCAATGCATACTTGATCTTCTTTCACAAAACGAGGTTGAGTCTTACCTTTTTCTCCTGATTTTTTTGTCTGCCAAGCAGATTAAGGCTGTTATTTCGACCTCCTTGATACAGGTATGGATGTGCAGCACCACATTGTACCCTGGGCAGATGATGATGGATTTGTACTCTGATCACTATCTTGGCATCAAATGTATGTCCAGAATGAAAGAGATTATTAAGATCACAAAGGATGCGTCCTGGATGAATCTTCAATTCCTTTCAGTCTGATTTTGAGGTTTTCACCTGGAGCTACATAATCTGTTTCTACATCCTCAGAAAGTATTCCAAGAACTTCCGTGTTGTGCTTGTTGGGAATCCTCACTAGCTGCTGGCCTTCACAGACTGTTCCAGATTCCAGCTTTCCCAGGACCACAGACCCCATATCATGTACCAAGGACAGAAATCTGATTGCTCTTTGAGATTTGCTCCCGTCAGTCCTGAGCAGGGCATAAAATGAATGTCCTTTTTGGGATTAAAGCCAACTTTTGTCAAAAATGGTACTAATTTTTCTTTACATTCTTCATAGCTCTCGTTGCTCCAGTTAACTGTTGGATCATTTCAAAATAGGCACAGCCTACCTCTACTGTTTTCCCTTTGTCTCGTTCTTCCTGGTTTGTGTCTAAGGCCCAAGACAAGTACCAAGTTCCTCTGTTTTTTTTTTTTTTCTTGAGCTTCTCGTTGGTATTTCTCACGTGTCCTTTTGTCGACCATTCTAGTCAAATACATTCAACATGCCCAGTGAACACTGCATTTACATGGTCTTTCTTAGGAGCACCTGGTGGTGCCACCACCGACTTAGGTTTTGGTATTTCTTCCCCCTCCATCATTTCTGACAGTTTGTTTTCTTGGTTTTTTGTTTGTTTGTTTGTTTGTTCGTTGTGTTTTTTGTTTTTTTCGAGACAGGGTTTCTCTGTGGCTTCGGAGCCTGTCCTGGAACTAGCTCTGTAGACCAACCAGGCTGGTCTCAAACTCACAGAGATCCACCTGCCTCTGCCTCCCAAGTGCTGGGATTAAAGGCATGCGCCACCATTGCCCGGCTAGTTTGTTTTCTTTTTAAAAAAATAAATGTGAGTCATTGTGTGAAGGCTCATATTCAGCTGTTAGCATGGACCTTTCAGAAACTGTTGTAGAAAATGGAGAGACAGAAATGTCCCCAGAGGAATCATGGGAGCACAAAGAAGCAGAGCCAGGGGGGTGGTTCCTCAGGAGATGGAAGGCCACCAGAGGAAAGTGTCCAAGAAATGACGGCTAGCTACAGATGCCTTTTTTTTGGTTTTTCATGACAGGGTTTCTCTGCAGCTTTGGAGCCTGTCCTGGAACTAGCTCTTGTAGACCAGGCTGGCCTCGAACTCACAGAAATCCGCCTGCCTTTGTCTCCCAAGTGCTGGGATTAAAGGTGTACGCCATCACCGCCCAGCTTACAGATGCCTTTTAAAATTTGCTTTTAATATGTGTTTGGTGTGTGTGGATGGAAGTGACTTTGGAACGGGGTAATGGATGGAGCTGGGAGGACTAGATAAGGCCTGGATTTCCATCAGGTGTCCAGGAAGACTCTGCTGCGGGTGCAGAAGAAAGCACTGGGAACATCTGCAGTGTGACGTGGCTGC